GGTTAATGGCTTAGTGGTTGTTCTGTAATCAGGCCCTGCTACAAGTGGCTAAGGAGATTGGCAGTGGGAACCAAAAGAGCCTGCAGGGACAGGGATGTGGCTATGGACAAGGCTGGGAAAAGTCCCTGACAGGACTTCAGAATCCGTAGCCAAGAATGTGGCTTCTATTGAATCATGAGAGGTAGGGAGAGATTTCTAGCTGTGGCCTATTGAAACAAAAAATTGAGTTGTATTATCTTGTCCTAGAGTTAATGGTGACAGTGGTGGAGGGGTGGTAATAAAAGGAGCAAAGACTCTGAATCCAACCTGGTTTTGAATCCAGTTTATTACTTACTAGCTAGATAACTTTGGACAAGTGACTTGGAACCTCTCTGAGCCTCAGATGCTTCATCTGTAAAATATGGTTTACATGGCTATTGTCAAAGCTGCATTAATGTGTGTGGATCCCCTGGCACAAAGGAGACATTAAATAAATGGTCACTTGTTATCATTTTTATGGTTGTCATTGTCAACATAAGATTACATTCACGTAGTTGTTATGGATTACAAAACACTTTCATATGTTCTCACTGAGGTAAAAACAGATTTCAGCTCAACTTGCTCCTATCCAGTAAGGTTTTGTAACCTTCCTCTGTCATAGCACTAGTAATATCATATTGTCACCACAGTGGTGTATCTGCCAACCCCATTAGACTGTGAGCTCCTTAAACAGAGGGGTTGCCTCTTGTGTATGCCCAGCACTGGAATAAACTAGTGGCTCCATTTCCATGTATCATGGATCCATGGAAGGAAGTACTTGTTCACAACCAGAGCTCTTCAGAAGTAGGGCAAGTAGTTTCAAGATATGAGCTCCCACAGTTGAGGATGTGTCAGGGGCCACCTGGCAGGGACACTGTTGGCAAGTGGCTGAACTGGCTGGGAGGCTGGCTTGCAAGAGATGGTTCTTAAGCCTCTGCTTTATGTTCTATTCATGTTTTAATTGGATGAAGCAGTTCTGATGTCCTCTCAAGTTCATTCAAAGGAGTATTCATTTAAGTTTGTGGGCCCTGTGCAAAGTGAGCCAGACATGGCCGGCCTTGGGGACTCTTCTTTCCTCTGTTTCCACAGCTCTTCAAAACTCATAGGACTGGGGCTGGCCCGGTGGCGCAGCGGTTAAGTTTGTGCGTTCTGCTTTGGTGGCCTGGGGTTCCCTGGTTCGGATCCTGGGCACGGATCTACTCACTGCTCATCAAGCCATGCTGAGGTGGCATCCCACATAGAACAACTAGAAGAACAGCTATGACATACAACTCTCTACCGGGGCTTTGGGGAGAAAAAAGGAGGCAGATCGGCAATAGAGGTTAGCAGGGCCAATCTTCCTCAAAAACAAAAAACAAAAAAAACCTCACAGGACTCACCTTAGCTCCAGCAGATGAAAAATTTTTAATGTAAAAAAATTTTAAAGGGACCGGCCCAGTGGCGTAGCGGTTAAGTACGCGTGCTCCACTTTGGTGGCCCAGGGTTCGCAGGTTTGGATCCCGGGTACAGACTGATGCACGGCTTGTCCAGCCATGCTGTAGTGGCATCCCACATAAAGCAGAGGAAGATGGGCACAGATGTTAGCCCAGGGACAATCTTCCTCAGCAAAAAGAGGAGGATTGGCATCGGGTGTTAGTTCGGGGCTAATCTTCCTCAAAAAAAAAAAAACATTTTAAAGAATGCTTTTGTATGGAAGACAGTATTTTTTAAAACATCAAATTGGTCCTAAATGCTTTGGCAGCATATACTACATAACCTTTTGGATTTGTATTTTCTCTTTCATAGAATAAAAACTCAGTGCCACTACCTCAAGAGTTCTGCAAGTTCACAATATGTAAATATATGTAATAAAATATTTACTTAGGGTTTCCATAAAAAAGGTCCAAAGGAGAGAATAAGAGAGCTTCTCTTTGCTGGTTTTAGAGACTCTGCTGGGAATTCAGAGTGAAATGTAAGCCTCTCAAATATGTTTTGATTGGCTTCCTTCATGTTTTATCTCCTGTAATGAACTCTTTGTCAGTTTGTCAATTTTGACTAAGGACAGAAAGTTCATATGTAGTAACAACACACAGACTGAATTTAAAATTATGGTTTATATCATGATGTAATAATCCTCTCTCTTTTCCTTTAGTCAATATTTACCTGTTAGGCCAATATATTATAATTCTGACTTCAAAAGAAGACACTTTATTTTACCTTCCTCAAGTGTTGGTTTTAGATACTTGTAATATCAAAATTAGAAGTTGAGCTGTCTGAGACTCTTGGCCACACTTTCTTCGGGGTGAGTTCCTTGATCATCACAGGGCAAGTTTCACTGCTCCCAGTGACCCCACAACACAGCTGCATGGCTCTCAGAATGAGGCAGCTGAACTTTGAGCCACACCGGTTTCTCTCAGCTTTCCAGACAGCCCTCTCCTCTGTGGGAAATAGGTCTATTGTATTATCCCATAGCAGCCAGGATCTCTTAGATGGACTTAGGTTTTCTCTAATGTATTAATGTTACAGAACTGAGGGGAAAAACCCAATGAATGCCCTGGAGGAGGATGGTCTCTGAGTGTGAGACAGATGATGAATGGGGAATCTTAAATTCTTTTCCTTCTCTGAACCCCTTATTTTAATCACCCCATGTTTAAACATTTTCCATTTTAAAAACTGAGGAGAGAATCATCCCCTAGTGCAGAAGGAATAGGAGGACAATAAATAGCTACAAAATTTGCAGATAAAATATGTGATACTTTAGGACTGATTATCCAGGTAACCAGAGGAGCATGTAGGTGTGTGTTAGTGAACTCTTCTGAGTCAACTTGGGTATCAGTCAGGATTCTTTCAGTGAGTCATAACCGAAAGGGAATTGATTGACTTGTGAACTGCCAAGTCCTTAAGTAGACTAGTTTCAAGTACAGCTGGATCCTGGAGTTCAAATGAGGTCATCATGATTCCCCCTTTATTTCTCAGGCCTATTATTTCTATATTGGTATGGTTATGTGGCAGAGATGTTCCTTGGCAGCTCCAGACTTAACAGTGGTTTTTAGTGTCTGGGGTCCTGGGAGAGAGACCTTCTTTCCTGACGTCCATATCAATCCTTGAAAACAGACTCAGAATAAATCTGCTTGGGTCACATGCCTATGCCTAGACCAGTCACTATGAATAGGGATGGGAATTGGTGGAATTACATCAAGCATATATTTGAATTTAAGCAAATTCACCTTTGTGCTTGTATCACCAGTGTGCTTCTGTCTGCCCATGATGCTCTCTTTAAACTATACACTTATTTTACATCTGTTCTCTTTTTTATATTCTGTCCATTTTGTGCATTTTCACATATATATGTATGTATGTATTTTCACATATATATGTATGTATGTTTGTGTATAATCGTATATACTGTATTTGATGGATGATTTATGGATGTTCAAGAGCAAATCTTTTTTTTTTTTTTTTTGTGAGGAAGATCACCCCTGAGCTAACATCCATGCTAATCCTCCTCTTTTTGCTGAGGAAGACTGGCCTTGAGCTAACATCTATTGCCAATCCTCCTCCTTTTTTCGCCAAAGCTCCAGTAGATAGTTGTATGTCATAGTTGCACATCCTTCTAGTTGCTGTATGTGGGATGTGGCCTCAGCATGGCCGGAGAAGCGGTGCGTCAGTGCGCACCCGGGATCCGAACCCGGGCTGCCAGTAGCGGAGCGCGCACACTTAACCGCTAAGCCACGGGGCCGGCCCGAGAGCACATCTTAAGTTTATAACCTAATGAGCCCCTCAACCCCACTTAAGGTGCAGTTCTACCAACCTGCCTCATCTGATCATCTCTCTGCCAGAACTGGGAGGGAAGGCAGAACAGCTCCACCAAGAAGGGAAAGGGCAGTTTTAAAAGGGAAAAAAGTAGGTCTTTTACCAGAAGGGAAAAGGCAACAGGCAAACAAACCAATTATTGATTCATTCACTCAGCAAGTATTTTTCGAGCACCAACTATATGTCAGGCATCCTTCTGGGCACTGGACCTATGACAGTAGACGTTACACAGAAGGCCCTGCCTTGCTGGAGTTTACACCGTAGGGAGAGAGGCAGACAATAAGCACATAGACCAATAAAGATATGCTCTGGTATTCTAGTAGTGATGAGAGCTCTTAAGAAAAGACCATGGTAAGCATCTTCAGTTATGGACTGGGTGCTTTAACAGTGCAGGTGGAGGAAACAGAGGACAGAGAATCTCTTCTTGTTCTGGGATTCTCTTTCAATGGACCCTTATAAGGTAAGGAGGATTTTGATAGGCAGATCCTGTTGAGATTATCCCAAGTGTAAGAAAAAGCATGAGCCAAGCAAACCTCTGAATGGGAGGAGGTAAGATGCGTTCTGGGAATGTAAAGAGGTTTCCCATGACAGCTGCATACAGAGCATGTGGAGGATGAGGCCGTAAGTCTGGCAAGGTAGGTTAGGGTGAGACCACGCAAGGACATGAATAACAGACCTCAGCAGATCCATGGTTAAGAAGATTACTAACAGCAGTGTGGAGGGCTAGGTAAGAGGGAACAGAATCAAGGTGGGAAGGCCAGCTGTGGGGCTGAATAAAGGCTGTGGCCAGAATGGACAGGAAGGGCAGAGTTTCAGAGGTAGAATCAGAGGTAGAGGATTTGGGATTAACTCACTTCTAGTGACTCAAAAGGGTTTGTTCATCGTCCAAAATGAGTCTTCTTTTGCACATCTACTCAAGTTTACTCAAAGACAAGAAGCCTTTAGAAATGAGAAACGTCTTGTGAAATGGTTGTTTATTCAGGATAAAAATCTCATTTGTTAGTATACAATGAGGAAAGTAACGATAATGCAGGTCACAGGGGGTAGGTGAGTGCCCAGCGACTAGAAGTGGTGGCCTGTGCTTCAAGTCCTTTGGCCTCTGGGAGTGACCCACATTTTCAGGAAGGATTCCTAGGAGAGATCACCTTGCTGTCCTTACCAGGCTGATCAGCCTCCTTGTGCATTCACAGGCAACTTCGAAGTGGGAGTTCATATTGCCGATGTGAGTTACTTTGTTCCTGAGGGATCCGATTTGGATAAAGTGGCTGCTGAGAGAGCTACAAGTGTCTACTTGGTTCAGAAGGTAAAAATCGGTCTCCAGTTTCTTGGATTGAAAAATGTGCTTCTATTTATTCTTCTTCCTTTTTTTTTTTCTCTTTGTTTAAAAAAAAAAAGCCCACAAGGAACAGCAATCTTTTCTGAACATCTTTTCTCACATCTAATAAGGTCTTAAAAAAAAAAGAAAAGGTTTTCCGTGGAAAAGTTCTTGCCCTCTGTTATTGCATGTGTTCTTGTTAGGCCTTGATATGTTCAAGAGGAACCACACTGAAGAGATGCCAAGGCAAGACACAGGTATTCCTCTCAGGCCTTCAGACTGGCCCTGCCACAGAAGTAACTCAGACAGGTGGTCAGCTTCAGAAAGAAATGAGAAAAAATAACTGCTTTCCAAAGCAGGGCTCGGCAAACTCAGCCAATACCAGCTACAGTTTTTATAAAGCTTTGTTGCGACACAGGCACACCCATTCATTTATGTAATGTCTATGATGTTGTCACACTACCACAGGAGAACAGAATGCACATTTTCTATTGGCCTTTTAAGAGAAAGTTTCGACCCCTTTTCTAGAGGGTGGGGGCTAATCTGCTCCTGACCTGCCCTTTACAGGGTAACCTGATGTCTCAGAAATGGAAAAGCAAAGGGAGCCGAGGGGGAGCCTGGGCTTCTCCTCCTAGTCCTGATTGCTCCACTCCTGGTAAGTCACCACCTCTCTATAGACCTCCTTTAACAAGTGTTTAATGAGTACCAGTTATCTGCCCAGCACTGCCCTAGGCCCTGGGGACAGTGTGAATTAAAGACCATGCATGAGTTATTTCTACCCGCCTCACTGGAGCGCCTGCATTCTTCCAGGTTTCTTTCTTCTTTTGACACTGTTCATCTGCTTATTTGGCTCGTCTTTCTTCTTTGGCTTTGTCATGACATTCATTTCCTCGCTAGCTTTCTTGAATCTAGTGGTCCAGTTTGGGATTGCTACCTACACTAGCTTGAACCTTCCCTCCTCTCATGCCCCAGGCCGTGACTTCTGGTATTTGTACTTTGGTGCACTAAGGTGAAAGGTATATCCCCACCACCCACCCAAACATACTGTGGCATCTGGCGGCTGGGAACCCTTTTACCTGGCTCCATCTCAGAGGCAAGAAACCAGCCTGGGTGCCAAACCTGCTGCATTCTGGGACCTTCCAAATGTCATCACTAGGGAAAGGATACAGCTGCCCAGACTCTCTCTACTGCCTAATCTGATTGGTAGCTCCCACTGCCAGCATGCCTGTGTGCCCACATAGCTGGCAGAAGGAAAAGCCAGGCTCTGAGTGCTGCCCTTGCAAGCAGCATGTCCTGGTAGGCCATTGTGGTTCAGGCTACCACCTCTAACTCTTGATAAAATTCACCCTGCTGCCTGCTCCAGATAGAAGTATTTTTGTGCCACGCTATAGGTTTGAGAAAACCACTGGCACAGGCATCCTGGAGAGGCCCTGGAAAGTCAGTTCTCTCATCCCCTGACCTTTAGAAGCCTATAGATCTTGGCATAAGCATTGAGACACGTCTGCAGGACAGCATTCTCCTTCTCTTACTTATCACTGACCTGTCTTCACTACTGTCCCTTCAAAATTAGGGCTTGAGAAACTCGTGTTCCTGGCCATCTAAACCCCCCATTTCCTGCTGTTCCCCAGAATGGGTTGGCCCTTTTGTGGACATGCTGGCAGGGCAGACCCCTAGGGGTCCATATGCTGCTCACCCTGGAGAGGCCCCAACCCTAGGGTTCCAGGAACCTGACCCCATGCTCTTATCATGTCAGGGCCTTGGCCACAGGAAAGGATGAATGTTACCCTGGCAGTGCTGAAGGTGGTACTGGATCTGTTTAAGAGCCAGTGTTCTCCTGGGTTCTGTTTTTTCCTAGGTAGAGATCTGAAAACTGTCACTGACTACTTCATGTCAGTTCTCCTAGATGGCCTTGTGGCACCACCACCGTACCCACCACCTCCCGATCACATCATTGCCCAAAATATACTGTCTGTCAGGAGTGTATTCAGACACAGAGACAGAGGAAGTGTGCCCATATTCTAAATGCATAATTGGCCTGGGGCCCAAGGCTTGTAACTCCGCCCAGGTATTATGGTATACTTTCTTTTCAAGTTTGAAACCAAGGCTCTCTACAAATAGAAACATCAGCTTGTGTCAGGGGCTTCTTAGCCTCTCCTTCTTTCTTTTGGAGCCCACTTCTGCCAGGACTACTACCGCTTCAACATAGCTATCATCTAAGGTTCCCACAGACCTAAGATCTTCTGTAGCTGTGTTCTGATGCACAGGATTAGGACACCTCACACCTCAGCCATACCTGGCAGCATATGTGACGTGTGGGAGATAGACTTCCAGCCGTACCTCTGCCAGGTCCAATAAACTGTAAGGTCATTTGGCCTTCGAGTGCCCCAGCACCTGCTAGTAATAAAAGCACAGAACTCTACTGAACAGAAAGATTGTGACACAACAGAATCATTATTTGTTTCCCCAACCCAAACTTGTACAGACCCACCACTCCTCCACCTTACACACATGGTCCCGGACCACTTATAACAGCAGTCTTCATGGCAACCCCCAGAAGAGTATGTTCTAGAATCCCTGGTCTCCAGTTCTAGCAAAGAGCCTGCATGATGCCCACAAAGTTATTGGCAATTCTAGAAAACAAGTCCTCCAGGACAATCCAAAAGTTCCTAGGATTTCTGGTATTTACTAAATATTACTGAGAGTTCCTTTCATATTTCCAACCTGTCTACCCTAGTAACTAACCTCTCAAAAGGGAAGGGATGAAAATTAACTCAAAATGGATCATAGACCTAAATGTAAAAGGCTAAACTATAAAACTCCTAGAAGATAACATTGGAGACAATCTAGATGCCGTTGGTTTGGCAATGACTTTTTAGATACTACACCAAAGGCATGATCCATGAAAGAAAGAATTGATAAGCTGGATTTAATTAAAATCAAAAATTTCTGCTCTGCGAAAGACACTGTCAAGAGACTGAAGACAAGCCATAGACTGGGAGAAAATATTTGCAAAAGACATATCTGATAAAGGACTGTTAGCCAAAATATACAAAGAACTCTTAAAACTCAACAGTAAGAAAATGAACAACTCAATTAAGAATGGGCCAAAGATCTTAACATTCACTTCACCAAAGAAGATATGCAGATGGAAAATAAGCATATGAAAAGATGTTCCACATCATATGTCATTAGGGAACTGTAAATTAAAATAACAATGTGATACCATTACGCCCCTATTAGAATGGCCAAAATCCCGAACACTGACAACATGGAATGCTGGTGAGGTTGTGAGCAATAGAGAACTTTCATGCATTGCTGGTGAGAATGCAAAATGGTACAGCCACTTTTGGAAAACAGATTGGCAGTTTCTTATAAAACTAAACATATTTTTACCGTATGATTCAGCAATCACACTCTTCAGTATTTACCCAAAGGAGCTGAAAACTTATGCCCACACAAAAATCTGTGCACAAATTTTTTTGTGTGTGTGAGGAAGATCAGCCCTGAGCTAACATCCATGCCAATCCTCTTCTTTTTGCTGAGGAAGACCGGTCCTGAGCTAACATCTATTGCCAATCCTCCTCCTTTTTTTCCCTCTTTTTTTCCCCAAAGCCCCACTAGATAGTTGTATGTCATAGTTGCACATCCTGCTAGTTGCTGTATGTGGGACGCTGCCTCAGCATGGCTGGCCAAGCGGTGCGTCAGTGTGCGCCCGGGATCCAAACCCGGCAGCCAGTAGCGGAGTGCACGCACTTCACCGCAAAGCCACGGGGCTGGCCCCCTGTGCGCAAATGTTTATAGGAGCTTTACTCTTATTTGCCAAAATTTGGAAGCAACCAAGATGTCTTTCAGTAGATGAATGGATAAACTGGTACATTCAAACAATGGAATATTATTTGGCACTAAGAAGAAATGAATTATAAAGCCATGAAAAGACATGGAGGAACCTTAAAAGCATATTACTAAGTGAAAGAAGCCAATCTTCAAAGGCTTCAATCATCATACTGTATGATTCCAACTATATGACATTCTAAAAAGACAAAACTACGAAGACAGTAAAAAGATAAGTGATGGCCAGGGGTTAATGGAAAGGGAGGGGTGAATAGGTAGAGCACAGGGGATTTTTAGGGAGTGAAACTACTCTGTATGATACTGTAATGGTGGGTGCATGTCATTGTACATTTGTCTGTGTTCATAGAATGTACAACACCAAGAGTGAACTCTAAACTATGGACTTCAGGTGATAATGTTGTGTCAGTGCTGGTTCATCAGTTATAACAAATGTACCACTCTGGTGGGAATGTTGTAATGGGAGAGGCTCTGCATGTGTGGGGCAGGGGATAAATGGAAAATCTCTCTACCTTCAGCTCAGTTTTGCTATGAACCTAAAACTGCTCTAAAAAATAAAGTTTATTAAAAAAATTTTCTCAAGGTGCAGGGAGAGGAAGAGCCTCTTCTAGGCCTTGATTGCAGCCATGTCCTTTAGGAGCTGGAGATCCTGTTGCCTTTGGCCCAAGTTTGACTCCCCTCACGTAGCTCAGCCAACAGTTGCTGTCTGACGCCCTGTGCTCCCACTTCAGAGGGTGCTAGCACAGATGTGCATTGTCCCAAATGGGACCCAGAGCTGTTATCTCTCAATCCATGGAGGACCTCCCTAGGGAACCTAGCCCTTCCTCTCTCCTGCCCCATAACAATACTCTCTGGATCACTGCAACCTAGAAATCACTGCAACCTAGAACATTTAAACAAAACCCTAGGGCTCCACCCACTCCGGGAGAATTGAACATCTGGTTTATTCAGGGGTTCCACTTGTCTGCCATTTATGCTAGGTGATCAGAAGCACTGTGTAGGTGTTTTCTACTATCCCAGAAATGAGAATATTGAGGGAGAGAGAGATGGAGTTGATTAGAGCTGTAAAATTCTGAGTCAGAAGCTGCATGATCATCCAAACCCAGTTATAGTTAACCGTGTGTCATGAGCAATAGGTG